GTGAGGGGGTTATTGCCGGGGCTTGTATAAACGCTACCAGCCCGGTTCTTAACCGGCCTGAAAGGCGGCCTCGGGACAAATCCGGGGTTGTCCCCGCAGCCCTGGGAAGAAAACTGCCCCCCCGCGCCCGAAAAGGCGTTCAATGGGCTGGGCCTGGGTCAGAGGCCTGCCAACATGGTGGCGTCTCCTGCGGGCAGCCAGAGCCGCTTCCCTCAGAAACCGGCGGCTTTCTGCCGGAAAGAAACATCTGTGCAGGTTAACATCGGCCGTTGCACTCTTAACGTTTCTTGCTATGAGTCTCAAATAATTCAAGAAAGATATTTTCTGGCTGCTGTCACTCTTGTTCCCTTGCAAATAGGCTGGGAAAACAGCCGCCTGGTCTACAAACATGCTCGTGGAGTGGCAGCCATCAATATGGACTTTGTTTAACCCAGTCCTAAGCTGTTCATATATATGCTGTAAACTATAATCCTGTCTTTCGCTATACACACGCTCGTTAAAGGGGGCCCATTTATTCCACACTGATGTGGTTTTGGCTAGAAGCATCCCGACTCCTGCAGTTTCATTCCCCTCCCTGATAAATCTGTGTCCTTAAGAACATTCTCTAAATGTAATCAGTCCTTCCTGCTCAAAACTCAGCTCAGGCTTATCTTCTCTGTTGGTTTGTTCTGAACTATTTGTAAAATACCCGACTAGCAGTGACACTACATGTTCTCCCCTGACGCAAGATGGATTCCACAGAAACGGCAGCGTTTGTCTCCATAGGGACCACGGGCGCTTGCGAAGACCCGGCAGCTGTTGGATCTTCACATCTCACCTGGCATCCCCCGATACAGCCGGGAGCCTCTTGAACTAGAATTGTCATTTTTAAACCAGATGTACGTGCATACATAAAACGAGTCGTCGCAAACCTGATATGTGTTCATCCGATGTGACTTAGACCCTCAGTGTCCTGGGAAAGGATTGTGACAGGGGACGTGTGAGGGTGATAGGAGAAAAAAACCTCCTCGGTTAAAAAAATCTTAGTGAGGAGTGAAAAAGCGTGAATTTAAAACACAGAGGCAGAGCAGGTTTGGGGGAAGGGCTTCTTTTCGGACGCGCATGAGGCACGTATGTCTCCTATCGTGGTGGCAGATGTAATACGAGACTCACCACGTGGCTCTGTTTAATATGCACCTGTGATCAGGTAACGACCTGCATCCTTTACGGCCTTCCTCCAAGACTCCTCAATCCTTTTGTGAGCCTCGGACTTGTTAAGACACAAGGTCGCTGCTCTGGATCATGGATTTTGGCCCCGAGAGGGGAACACAGGCTTGCAGTTAATGTGCACCCATTCCCAGTGTCAAAACCCCTTGCTCTACCACCCCCTGAGCAAAAATGAGCTTTTTCAGTCCAGCAAGAGTCCAGGAAGCCGCAGTAGAAAGCAAGACTGAATAAAAAACTCTTGGGCCTGATCTCTTGTCCCACCCCATGCCCCCCCAGCTGCTTGCTGCTCCCTCAGACACCGCTCTGCATCTCTCCGGTGCCTTTTTTTTTCCCCAGCATCATTTTCCCACCTGGTCAGCGTACAAAGACCTACATCCCTTCCTATCCCTGGCTGCTGCTATTATTTTCATTTTCAATCCATCTTTCCCTCACAGTAGGCCCACGTTCCTCCTCACTGAGGAACATGGGGATGGCCAACAAAAGGATTTTGGTGTGTCTAATGAGAGAAGATGGGCTTTAACACTGGAGTGTCATTTTGATGTTTACCTGCGCTTCCTTGCTTCAGCTGCCCAGAAGAGCATCCCCTGCCTCACACGGGTCCGTACAACTGAAATTTGGGCACCGAACAAGATTCCCCAGAAAAGGAGCTGCTGCCTGCGGAGGAACGAACGTGACTGAAGCCGAAGAGGAGATGTCTGCACCCTCAAAGTGGAGGTCGGCCCCCGGGCTTCGCTGGCGGCCATTTCCCTCTCCCGCTCTCCCAACCCTGGGGGCGAGCAGCCCCCTCCTCACCACCAAGCCTCCATAATTTGAAGGGCAAGCAGCCCCCCCAGAAGTCTCCCCCAAAACC